AAATTCTTAGCTAAGTTTTCATCAATATATTTTTTGAGTGAAGCTAATTCAATTTTTCATAAATTTTAGATTGGTCAAAATAGTTTTATTTTATTTAGCTATTTATTTATGGTTTTTTAAAAATCGATATCTTTTAATTTTATTATAAAAAATAAAACTAAAAAAATAAATACTAAAATAAATATAAATGGTTCTATTATGATATATTTAATTTTTTTTTGTTTTTTCTTTAAAATATTATTTTTTAGAAGTGATTGATTTTTGACTTAGTAACCACAATATAAAATTTTATAATATTTTTGTACCTAGAAGCATAGGTTTTTTCTAATATAAAGTATTTTTTGATAAGTTTTAAAAAAAATTAAATTTTTTAATCCCAATAATTATCTAATATAGTTAAATTTAGAACTAATACCATATATATCTCTTAAATATGCCTTAATATCAAAAATATCCATGCATTCTTAATAATAGTATATATATTGCTAGAATTTTTGATAATAGCATATATATCCTCCACATTGATAAGATATTAGAAACCTAACAATTCCATTAATATTTTTGTCTCTACATGGGCACTAATAGTCACTTTTATGATTTACTGTAAGAAAAAAAATTTTAAAAATTTAAAAAAAAAACCCTCCATAATGTACATTTTGGAGAAAATTGTTAAAAAAAAGAAGGAATGTTCCACAGCTGCCTGACAATGAATAGCATGCGAGCTCTTTTTTATTTATTTGACAAAATCCTTCCACTCCACTATCCCCTTCCTATCCTTGTAGGTCCCTATGCCACTATTCCATGCCGCTCTACCCTTTCTTTTCCACGCCTTTGAATTCCTATTCCTGCTGCACCATCAAGCAAAATCCCATCTCTTTTGAGACCACATCAACATTACAACCCCAACATCCTGCACCACATCTGCATCCTCTCTCCTAGCAAATTCTTAAACTGCCTTATATGCCTCACAGCCAAAGAAATGTGAAGCCACCCTGATTTATTTATTTTTTCTTGTTATATTTGACTTACTTATAAATGTAACAATTTTATATTTGTTGTATAGGATGAAGGTGTTTATATTGTAATACTATACGATCACTTATATTCCATTTGGAATTGGATGCATAATTTATATGAGGTACTAAAGTAAATATGAAGTATGAATAAATCTTTACAAGAAAAAAAATATGAACATTTGTCAAAAACTATATTTTTATTTTTTTTAGTTGACAAGAAGAATCAAACAAGTAGTGTAGATTTCTTTTGCATGTATACAAAAAAATAAAAACAAAATAGAGGCAATAATTGAAATCCTAGATATCTTCACAAATCCTTCTACTTGAATATATATTGTAAACTAAGTATATTTGTGCAATGATTTTATTTGTGTTGTTAATCTTGCTGACAAAAAATACAAATACTTTATACAAGAATTTCATTTTGTACTAGAAAGAAGAGAAACTAGAAGCAATTATGGAATTCTTGCAAAAAAGAGCAATTTTTTGATTCTTGCTAATAGATGCAATAAGGAAGAGGAACAAGGAACAATTCTGGAGTTCGTACAAGTATGTACAAGGAGGTAGAGAAATTTTGGAATTCTAAGGTTATTCACACAATAGTCCTTACAAAGATGGTGATAATCAATTGAAAGAATGCAATGCAACATGGGGTAAAGAAAAGAAGTGTGAAGCAATAATCATACTTCAAAATGACCAATTCTATGGATGTTATTTTTAATAGTAGTAACATATTAAAAGAAGTCTTTTATCAAGATGCAATCAACAACCATTATAAAACATCTATTATCAAGTCCAATCAAATGAGATATACTATGAAGTGTTGCAGCAACACTTACAAATAGAGACTGCATGCATCACAATATCAATCAACAAGTAGAAGTAAATTTGTTATTTGGATATTTGTATCTAAATACACATGCATTAATATTAAATACTAGAACAAATGACATGCTAGCATCAATTGGATAATAGACAATGTAAAAAACAAGTTGGATTACACCTCCCAATTAGAGTTGTAGATATCCAAAAAGATATTTGATGTAATGAGGGTGTTATGATATCCTACTTGATGGCATTGTATAGAAGAGAAAAAGTTATTTTTGAGCTAATTAGTTCCTATTAACATAGCTATATCAACTTAAAGGCATATTATCATCAAATCAAAATAATAAATCCAAAGAATTATATAGAATTAAAAGTTAATGAAAAAACCACTTTCTTCAATTGTTTGTTACCTACAATGCAAGCTTATATGGCTTATAATATTGTCAACTTGTCATTGGCATAGATAGCATTTATTCAAAAGAAAAGTATTGTGGGATAATCCTAGCTACTATAAAAATCAATGGAAAGAAACAACTATTTTCTATTACATTCAATATTGTAAATATTAAAAATGACAACAATTGGCTATGGTTTTTTCAAAAGCTAAAGACAACTTTCTTGCATCTTATCTAGTGAACTAAAAACTTCTAAAATTCACATTTTTTTTTGATTGATAAAAAGGTCTCATTGATGCAATCAACCATGCATTTTTGACATGCAAACATGCATTTTGCATTTGCCATTCAACTTAGAACTTATAATAGCAATTCAAAAATCTAATACTTATATGACATCTCTGGGCATCAACAATGGCACCAACTATTCTAGATTTCAACATCAAATTCTCAAAAATCCAAGTTGTATTCAAAGAAGTTGCAGAATACCTTATGAACAAAATAAGAGACATCGTTACAATTTGACAAGAACTGATTTGGCTACATGACTTCAAATATAATATTATGGAATCTCTAAACTCATGGATATTAGAAGAGCATGAGATGCCATTAATTCCAATACTAGAAATAATTTGGAGGTAGCTCATGGCATGGTACAATGAGTGACATATCATTGCTATTAAAATTACTGAATTATTATTAGTTAGTGCAAAGAAAGAGATAAAATGGTCACAAATACTCGCACTTGGCTATTGCACATCCCCTCCTTAGATACTATCTATGAATGCCTATTAAAATAATCATCTAATAACTTAGATTTACAAAACCATACATATACTTGCAATCAATGGTAACTATCTAGAATTCCATGTATGCATGTAATTAGTGCTATGTTCTTCACACAACAATCAATTGTCAAATACACTACTTACTTTCATAGTCTTCAAGCCTAACAAGGAATTTATGGAATAGCTATCACTTCAATACCATCCATTGAGTATTAACCAAAATTGAGTGACAACAAAATTGATGTTGCTCCAAACTTACCACCCTTGACATGAAGTTGTATCTATACAGAGGATATGGAAAGAATTAAAAAATTATTTAAATACAATTAATGCAAGAATATTAGACATAATTGCTTAACATGCAAGGAACCAATTTGGTTCCATATTTCAACTTTGAAATTGTCCAACCTTGCAGCTACTAACCCATAAAGGGGCGCTTGGTAGGAGCTGACCCTTAGGCACTGCATGCACTCGTCATTTACCTGAAATATTTCATATTAAAACCAAACATCAATATTTCTTACCAGATGGAAACTTTCCGGTTGAGGAAAATCATGTCATCAAAATGGTCCACAGTTTGCACTCGGTCCTGTAGATTATTCGTCTGCTGAGTCCTCTGAACCTTGATCACTATGCTCTGATAATCCGTCTCTACAGTTACATTCTACATTTTCTGACTGTCCCATCTCGAATCTCTAATTATTGCTCCTCCTTTCTAAATTCTTTACAATCTGCATGGTCGTATGCTACACTCCTACTCTCCGAATTTTTAAATCGGTCCTCTAAGCCCGACCAGCACTGGTGCCAGATCTGGTCTTACAAGGTAGGTAGTATGCAAGCAAGGGAGCAGGAACGCAGGTTGATAAAGAACTGTGTCAACATCATCCTCTACTCAACAAAGAAAAAACCAACGACTCCTTCCTTCACTCCCAGCTTTAAAATGGAAATCACTTATACATCAACTTTGCTTAAAATTTTCCAGGATACAATAAAAACCTTCAAAGCAACACAGACTATCTGCCCCACGTATCCTTTTCAGAGGCTCACCTTAGTTACTAGTTTATTACAGTACAATCACGTTGTGTCTCGGTTATTACACTTCATGCTTTCACAGTACAACAAATACGTTAAGTTTCCACTTAGAGTTACTTACTTTTTATTCGTGAACGTTGTCCGGAAATAGGTAAAATAAGGAAGATTCACCAGGCCATCAATCCTCGAAGGACGACCAATTCTATTTGACAACTTTGTCCTTCCAGAACATTGGTTTTATACTGTGATACCAGGCTATATCTTCATGCCAAAAGCTCTCAAAATATTCTATGCCAGACCTTTCTTAGTAAGTGTCGGCTGCTATTTATTCTACAATATCCCAGGTTTAGTTAGAATATTCATCTTCGACACCAGGATGCTGTAAGACGAGTAAAAGTCCTATGACACGGGATTGTGGTTGTCTGAACAAGCTTCAGACTGTAAAAGTAGGTTAATTTTGCGAATTCCAGCGCAAGGAATGATTTTACTTCTCAAACCTCACATTGAGTGCTACTTGTGTTAAAATTATAAACGTGAAGCTGCAGGGTCCAAATTGCATAATCCTTCCACAGCCTCGCCTGTAGAGTCTAATGCGACAGCGTGCACCTAATCATTGTCCTACAAGTGAATCTCCTGTCCACAACCAGTCCAACATCGCAATTACAATTCTCTATCCGAGAATAATACCATCACCAAACCAACATACAAGCACATAAAAGCGGCCATCACATGTACTCTAGCATATTTACTGCACCACACTTCTATACGATCTGAATATGTCCCTCGCAAGCCAACCAAATCCAAACCTTTATAGGAGAGACCATAAAAACCAAGCACCAGCCTGACACCCCAAAAGTACCCCATCACAACCACATCAAAACAACTCTCCACATCGCAGCAGCATTCATACCACTGCACATATGCTCCCACACCACCCACACTTGCAAAAAAATTACTGGTTCCATTCATCCAGTCCCACAAAGATATCCACTGCCCATACCAGTGGCTGCGTTTCCCTACTCCTCTACCTTCTTCTCTTCACTCCCTACTCGTCTGAGCCTTCCGCACCGCACCGACGGGCCTCTACACTCCCCCCGCTGCCAGACTCATCCTCCAATGTCCTATCACACACACTCTAACCAGCCCCCTACCCTCACCACCCTCACCCTCACCCCACCATCTACGTCATGATCTTCGATATCACTCCCGCGCCCACCGTCTTGCCTCCCTCCCGGATGGCGAACCTCATCTTCTCCTCGCACGCCACCTCGTTGATCAGCTCGATCGTCAGCTTCACCCTGTCTCCCGGCACCACCATGTTCGCCTCCTCGCCCTGGTCCGTCTGGATGCTCAGAATTCCTCCCGTGCAGTCCGTCGTCCTCATGTAGAACTGCGGCTTGTAGCCCTTGAAGAATGGCGAGTGTCGCCCGCCCTCCTCCTTCTTCAGCACGTACACCGACGCCTCGAACGTCTTGTGCCCCTTGATCGTCCCCGGCTTCGCCAGCACCATCCCCCTCTGGATGTCCACCTTCTGGATACCTCGCAGCAACACCCCCACGTTGTCGCCCGCCATCGCCTCGTCCAGCAGCTTCTGGAACATCTCCAGACCCGTCACCGTCGTGCTCCTCGTCTCCCGCAGCCCCACGATCTCCACCACGTCTCCCAGCTTCACCACGCCCCTCTCCACACGCCCCGTCGCCACCGTTCCACGCCCCGTGATCGAAAACACGTCCTCGATCGCCATCAAAAACGGCAGCTCCGTCATCCTCTGCGGCACCGGGATGTACTGGTCCACGTTGTCCATCAGCTCGAAGATTTTGTCCACCCACTTGTCGTCGCCCCTCTTGATGTTCTTGTTCTCCGGCTTCATCAGCGCCTCCAGCGCCAGCAGCGCCGATCCCGACACGATTGGGATGTCGTTTCCGGGGAACTCGTACGAGGTCAGCAGCTCCCGAATCTCCATCTCCACCAGTTCCAACAGCTCCTCGTCATCCACCTGCGCATTCCCCAGTGCCCCTCCCCGTCAGCGCCCCACTCCCGCCAATTGCCCCAACAATTCTCACACACCCACCGCTCACTCCTGCCTAAACCCTCTCCCCAACCCCCCACCCCCCCTGCAAACCCTTAAACCCTATTCCCTCCCTCGCCCCCACACCTTGCGCCATCCCCCTGCCCCCACCAAAACAAACACACAAACAAACAAAACCCCAGTTCCCATCCCAATTCACCACAATCCCCGCCCCTCTCACCTGGTCTTGCTTGTTCATGAACACCACCATGTTCGGCACGCCCACTTGCTTCGCAAGCAGGATGTGCTCCTTCGTCTGGGGCATCGGCCCGTCCGCGCCCGACACCACCAAGATGGCTCCGTCCATCTGCGCCGCTCCCGTAATCATGTTCTTCACGTAATCCGCGTGCCCGGGGCAATCCACGTGAGCGTAGTGCCTGCTCTCCGTCTCGTACTCCACCGTCGCCGTGTTGATGGTGATTCCACGAGCGCGCTCCTCCGGCGCGGCATCGATCTCGTCGTACTTCTTCGCCACACCGCCTCCCGCAGCGGCCAGCGCCATCGTCAGCGCGGCCGTCAGGGTCGTCTTCCCGTGGTCGACGTGCCCGATGGTGCCGATGTTCACATGGGGCTTCGTCCTCTCGTACTTCTCACGAGCAGCGCGCACCACCAATGTCGACGCGCCCTTCCTGCCCTTGGCCTCCGCGGCGCCTCCCATCACCACTTGCCCCACGAACGACGACGGGCTCAGAACCGCCACCCTCACGCTGGGCGCGGCATTGCCACGGGCAGCGCTGCTGCCGGCAACGCACCCAGAAACCGCAGCGCGGCTGACATCCGCGACGCAAGCCATGCCTTCAAATCTCAAATCTCAAACTTGACGAAGCCTAGCTGACTGAGTGACAGAAGACTCTAAATTGAAGATGGGTCTGCGAGAGCACCACTCAGACGAAAGAGCGCAGGGCCGTGAGGCAAGACTGATTTTTCGCAATGGAGAGCATTGAGGACATGGGGGGGTGCTGTATGCAGGGGAGCGAGCCTGCTGATGGGGTGGTGCCATGGGTCTGTGCACCCCAGGATGTGGATAAGGCGCTCCAACTTTGTTCCTGGCTTGGATTAGCGACCTCATCCTCTTCGGTGACGCCCTGCGCTTTGCCCACTTCGCGCTCCCCTGCTTGAGTTCGCGAAGTAGGGTGCGGGGCGAATGGTGGACACGGACGCTTCTCGCACCCTTGTGTGCCTGTGGAACCATGCCGGCCCTTCGTTACTCCTTCAAAGTTAGGACTGTAATTGCTCGCCTTTGTTCCAAGGCTTGGGAACTGAAACATTTTCACATTTTGAGCTGCCTATATATTAATCAAGGACCATTGTGGTTGAGTGGTTTTGGTTTGGATGATTGTTGGGTTTAAACATGTACGAAAAATGCATAATAAGTTGTTTAAATTAATATGCTTCGGAGCTTCCTATGATGCTTTTAGCAAGAGTTTCTGTGTGCATTTTGCATGCATCAATGCTTAATGAATTCCATTATTTTTATTTTTTTTATTCGTTTCCTTCACTATCCTTGTAATATATTTTTTGAAAACATGAAACATGAATTACATGTGTTAAAATGTTGATTGCTATATAATTTTACACAGTAATACTAGTTAGATATTTTGGTATTAAATTTGATTTCAGTGAAGATCGGATTGACTTACCAAATGGAAATATTGAATATATCATATAAAGAGACAGATTGTCATGTCGATAATTGTAGAAGTTATTGTATGGTTTTTAAACGGAAAAAATTCTTTAATCTTGAATTTTTATGAAATTCATTAGGACGAATCTATGGAAGTTTGATACTCTAGTTTCACCAAGTCAATTACATAATTAATTAACAAAATCAATTGTAAATAGCTGTAAATGATATCTTAAATTAAAAAGTAAAAGTTACATTGAATATATTAGAATGCATCTCATAGTTAAAATTCTTTTTTCATATCCATGACTTAGTAATAAAACTTTGTAAAAACAACAAAGAATGACTTGAATTAAAAATTGGTATTTGAGAATAGATACCATGTGATGAAAATATGTACTAAGTTTTAATACAAATAATTTATTTCTTAAGGATCAATTCAAATTAATATATAAGTAAACTAAAGTCTATAAGATTTGATACTTTGTGTAATTTTTTAATATTAATGAGTGATTACAATCTATCAAATATGGTTGTTTAAATTATTTTCTATTCTTAAGTACTAAGGTTAGTTTCTCACTTTTATATTTAATTATTATGATTCAATTAAAATTTAAAAAGATTATCTTTTTCTAAATTCAAAGGAAATTTATTTATTTAAACTATTTTTTAGATAGTAGTTCAAATCAACATAAAAAAATCAGATTTTTTTTAATTTATGATTTATATTAAAATTTACAAATCAAAAAAACATCTACAATAATGACAAACAATTGAACTAATGACCAATGACATACTAATAAGTTGTAAATGAGTTGTAAATTTAATCAAGACCTACGAAGATGTACTTTTGATAACTACAACAATAATGATGCTAACCTAATTTTAAAATGATGTTAACTTTATTTTTTATTTTTTAGAAAAATAAAATTTAAAAATTCATTTATAATAAGAGATATTCTTTTACTTCCAAAATAAAAATAAAAACAAAAATAATTATAGTTTAACAAGACATAACCTCTACATTAAAATTTTAGATAGTTAATATTTTATTTTTTAAAATATAATGCCAAAAATCTAGGCAAGGTAGTTTTAAGTGGGAACTTCTATTGTATCTATTAGAAATTATTAATATTAGATATTTTAAAAACTACCTAACCTAGATATAACTTAAGTTAAATTTAACCTTCGTTACCTGCCTACATTTTAAACCTATCTTGCCTATTAAATAATGCCAAAAATTCAGGAAAATCGGATCAAATTTAGAAAATATCTAATATTTGATATTAAAAAGGTCTAATATCAATTATAATAATGTCTAATATTAACAGATAATATGAAATATCAAAATTTATTAATTCTATAATGTAAATAATAAATAAAGAATATTCATTTTTACATTCAAGTCAATACTAGTTAGATTCTCCTAATGTCTTGTAATATGCACAAGACCATTACAATAATGTTTGCAAAGCTTTAATTTAATAAACTAACATCCAAAAATTGACAATAAAGTTCATTGAAATTTATCTAATCATAAATATATATATATATATATATATATATATAGTAAATGTAATAAATCGTAATCATCATATGATTATATAAAATATCAGTTAATACATCTGCTTAATATCACATTACATATCTTGTACATATTAAGAGGTCATCTAATTGGACATTGGTTACCAAGTTTTGTAAGTTTTTTATTCTAAGATTCAAAAATATTACCTTTAAATCTATTGCAAAAATTCAATCATGTGTAATGAATAATATGTGTAATTAATTTTTATTATTCTAATTCTAAATATATGTATAAGTAACTAGATTCATAATTTTTTTTTAAGATATGAAAAAACTTTAATATATAATACAAGATAATATTAGCATATCAAGTTATTTTTACATAATAAATAATAAGACATAAAAATCCTGTAAACAACTATTTTAAAAAATAATAATGAATATTAGAAGATAAAAAATTTAAATAATTTTTATATAATCTTGATTTTTTTAAAATAAATCATAAATTAATTAATTAATTAATATACATAAATACAAATATAATAAACTAAAAATCGTAATTAAAATTTTCATATTTAAATAAAATTTCAATAAATTCATCAATCATAATTGGCTTTTGATTAATTTTTTTAAGTATTATCAATAATCTATTGACCTTAACACCAAGAAATTATTGCATAGAACCAAGTTTGAGTAAAGAATTAGAGAAATAAACATTAAAAAATTATTTAAATATAACTATATATATATATATATATATATATAGATATAATATAAGAAATAAGTAATATATATTTGGTTGATAAAACTCTTCTTACTAAATATCACAAAAGCTCTCTAACTAAGCATTTGACATATAATTGTCTCTAATTGATTTGCAAACACAAATACTACTTATAAAAAAATTTAGAAACTTAAAATTTATAGTTAAAGCATCTCACAAATTATATATTTTCTTTTAAATATATATTTTAAAAAATTAAATGCTATTTCTTTATCTATTGTATGAAGCAATAAAAAATTTATCTTCGTTAATTTTAATTTATTTATCTTTTTTTTAGCTATTGAATGAAAAATTTATGGTTTTTTAATTTAACATAACCACGTTATTTATTTTTATTTTTTAAAATATAAAATTTCTATTATTATTATTTTTCTATCCTTTATTTAGAGTATCTTATAATTTATTTATAATTATTGATTCTTTCTTGATTGATTTAAGATAACTCAAAGTTATTGAAAAATTATTAAAATTTTTTATTATAGTTTTTTTTATATAACACTAGAATTATTTAGTTTATAAAAATTCTTGTAGAAGTTTTATAACTCTTGAATATTACAAAATTCAATATTATTTATACTATATCAATAAATGGAGTTTTATCTTATAAAATAGAAAAACATTAAATATGTGCCAAATTCAAAACCTTTTTAAAGAACCTTATGAAAAATATAACTAAATAAAAAAATATTAAATAAATCTCAAAGATGTAATAAATAATAGTTTTATTAGAAATATATGTTAATTATAATCTTATACATATTATTATAACATTCATAACAATTAAATTATGGTAAATTATTTTTAAGAATAAATTGCAAGACCAAGTTTCTTCTATTACTTGTAAGTTTTTATATTATCTTATACATATTAATCTTCAGTTCTAATATTGTAAGTCAATTTTTATTTTTTTAAGAATCACATAAAATAATTTATTTAAAAATATGTAATATTATAAATTTTTTTGTAGATGAAACTAAAAAAACTCAAATATAAATAAATATAAGCAATTGAACCATCTAATTAAAGTATTAATTTACTCTTATCATCTATCAACTTGAAAATAAAAAAACAATTGTGTAATATATTCACTAATACAATAATTAACTTCTTATAATTTATATGTTAGAGATTTAGAACTTCAATCAAGAAGGAAAAGCTACAAAGATAATAATAAATGATTATTGTCAAGAATAAAAAGGCCTAAAGACCACAAGAAGAATTAACTCAAAAAATGAATTGATCTATTATACTTTAGAAGATTCTTTAAAGGTTCTAAAATCTTTTAAGTATGTCCATTACATTGCCTAACTCTGAGCAACAAATTCCACAACAAGAATTGATATTTTTTTCTTTGTATTTGTAAAAAATCCAATATTTATCATTTTTTAAAATTAAAATTTATTTTTTAAAAATTTCTATTCAATGGATGAATAGATTCTTCCAATATTTTGATGATCCAACTTCATATTAAAAATGTCTACTATATAGTAATTGATGTGATTGTTGATGTGGTTGATCCTTCAATGAAACTTCGAGCTTATGATTTTTAAGCCCTATAAGAATCTTCTAATTTAACATATTAAAGTTACACCAATATAATTTCAAAATACAACTTAAATACTAAATAATCAAAATATAAAATATAATGCACTAATGATGTTATTGGTTGAATCTTTCATTCTTATATTTGATTTGATATTGGAGATTCTTCTTGAAGTCATTTTTATTAAAATCATAATTATGACATCATGATCTTTGATGACTTGGCTTGAGTTTGTAATAATAACAATAATTAAAGTCTGATATCTTCACTAATATAATAATACAATTAGATGAAGGATCCCATAATCATTCTTTGATGTG